TGAAGAGACTTTTGTTTCCAGCTTTGATAAAGTGGAAAACAGGGAAAAGTGAGTTGGATGGTGTTGATGAACCAACTTACAGTACATGCACAAGTAGCCTACACAATCACTCTGCTCCATTACCTGCCTGAATTTTTACAGGTTGCTAGCCCAGCCTAGAGGGCTTACATTATCTAGTCCTTTCTCTTTGAACCTGTCTCAGCCTTTTCTTTAGCCACGCTTTTTTTTTTTTAATACCCAATATGCTCTTCCATTTCAAACCTCCACACTTGGTCCAAGTTCCACATGGTGAAGGGGAAGTTACTCCTATAGGCAACAGCCACTGAAGGATTTATAGAAAGGGCGTAACATAATCAGATTCATATTTTGGAAGGGTCACTGTGGAGAATATACCTGGGCAGGAGCAGGGGGTGCATTAGGAGGGTGCTAGGGTTATCTAGATGGGTGAAATTGCAGGGCTGGAGAAAATAGCAGGGCTGGAGAGATTGGTGGATTGGAGAAGTGTTTCAGAGATGAGAGATAGGTAGGGCCTAATCGCCAGTGGGGCTAACTGCAAAGAAATGTGGTTTGCCCAGTGTTTCACAGCTATGAATTCAAACCTAGGCCTTCTTGTTGCATGTCTAAGGGAAGATCTCATGGCATTGTCTCATGGTACTCACAGCTCTGCAGGCCCCTCTAAATCCCCACTGTGGCACCAGGAGCCTGTGCCTCACATACTGAGGCACTCACCCCAGGAAGTAATGGACAATGAGGCACAGCTGCTGCTGCATCTCTGAGCTTGTTCTGGGGCCTCCTTCTTGGGGCTGTAACAAGCCAATGCCTGAGCATGCATGGTTACTAAGGCAGCCCCATTTCTGGGAGACACAAAGCTCCTCCCCAACGGATGACTGGCTGGAGAAGCTCCTTACTACCCAGCTGAAGCTCTCTTGACTGCACAGCTGTCTGGGATGCTTCCACTCAACCTGTCTTCCTCCTTTTCCTACCTCACAGGTGGACTTGCATCGAGGCCTGATGGCTCTCACAGCCTCACCTAGTTCTCTCCTCATTCTCTCTCACACCAGCATCTCCCCTAATAAAATCCACACACATTTAATTCTGTCTTGGAGTTGGCTTCTTGGAGGGGCAGACTAACACAATCTTGTAAGAAGTGGCTCCAGGGATCACCTTACAACCCACTGACTTCCTCTGAGTTTGTCCACATTCTTTAGGCGATGGGAAACCTGGATATTAACAGTGCCTGACCTATTTTGATACACTGAATTTTTGCTTTATCTTTTTTCTTACACAAAAGGTAAACTTTCGCTTTCAACATGGAATAATATACTTTAGAAAGATATGCTTTGTCTTTACCCTCATTAGATCCTAAGCATGGTGTACAAAAAGCTATTTTACAACACTGTCATTAGTGATATTTGGTGTATGGCCCTGTAAACCTTCCAGTCAAAGGTTTTGCTAGAAATCTTTGACACCCAAAGAAGCACTTCCAGAACAATTGTTGAAGCACAGAGCAGCTTTTCTACGCACTTTGAAAAACCTCCTCTTAGCTGACCTTCCTGTCTTTCTGGGACCAGAATTTAGGGGCCAAGCCTTAACATTTGATAAACAATAATCTCAAACTGAAACAGATTTCTTTGAGAAAATGAGTGCAAACATGGCCTGAATCGGTAAAACAAGGCAACTCTCAGCATATCCAATGTGAAAACCATACACATTGGCTTTCTTAGTCCAAAAGTTGGAATCAAAATGTTGATTTTTGATTAGTGGAGACACAAACAGAGCGTATTCAGGAACTCATTGTTTTCATGAGCCAGGAAGAAAAATGTTCACTTAGGATACCGTAAGAATCCTCTTTTCTTTGGCTACTTTATTAGACATACATACGACAGTTTCAAGCTCATTAAAAACCCATCTTTACACTGATCTAACTGCTCAGGTTAATTTTGAAACAGGCAACGTACAGAACAGAACATCTAACAAACCTCTCCTCTTTCTAAAGTTTCATTTCGAAAGCATTAGGAAATCTTACTTTAAGCAGCGAGCTGACGGCGTTCTCCGGAACCCGGTGGGAGCAACAAACTTGAGACCTTTGTATGGCAGCAAGTCAAGTGCTTAGTAATGCATGCTGGGATTTGTAGTCAGCCTTTCAGAGATTAGTGGCTCCATCGGAGCACTTTATGAATGTTCGTGCTGCCATCTAGTGGAATTCAGGTAGAACTATGAATTGCAAGCGGAGGATGAAAAGTGGAAAAGCACCTTACAGCTTACTTAGGGATGTGCTGTACTAGGGTGGACAAGATTGGATGAGCTGGAAACTGCATGTGGAAGACAGCAGAGCAACAAAATAGAGGGAACCCACGTCACTGAAAATTCTCAGTCTTCCTGACACTTGACCTGGAATGTTTTAAGGGAGAGAAATAAAAATTCCTTTGTGTTTAAAATACAGTTGTGATTTTTATTTTTTCATTCTCAGTCTATTCTAACACCACTGCACGGTTAGTGGCAGAATGCCAGGAGCCTTACTACACTGGGGTTGATGGTGGGGAGAATGTGAAACTTGGATGACAGGGTGAGGCTTAAATGGGAACATGTTGAGTAACAGCAAAAAAACCCAGTTTGGGGCCAAAGATTTAAAGAAGCAGATTCTTCTCTGAAGACATGAGGAGTAAGTTGTGTGATAATGGTGTGCGTTTTGTGTGCATGAATGGACATTGTAAATGTTGAACTCTAGGCTCCGACAATCACTGTCAACAGAAGATGAAGCTGCAAATATTTATGTTTTAAAACTTAAATTATAAGGCTAGTTAAATGTTTCTAATGACTAGTTTTAATGTTCATGGGTACATTTTACCTAAGTGACCATTTACATTGTATAGAAAAAGATTCATCTTAAGCACACTTTGGATATTAAGAATTAGTTTGAGGAAGAGGTTTTTTGTGGATTCTTTCATACTGCAGAGGAAAAACCATTTGCCTTCTGGGGAATTGAGCTAAATTCTAATCTAGTCTTTAAGACTAGAATGCTAAAAACAAAAACATGAAGGAAATTAAAACCCCTTATAATTAAATTGATTTGTAAAAACATTGTTATCGGAAATTGATTGGACTCAAGGCCTTCTTCCAGAAAATAAGGACTTGATTGATTGTCAGGCTTATATTAGGTTCTGAACCTTAATGCTATGCATTTGTACTTATTAAAAATGGTTTCAATGAAAAGTACATTAGCAGTATGAACTTCTGGTGCAGTTGGAAGGTCTTCCATTTGAAAAATGTGATATTTGAATGGAATCATTTGAATCCTTTTATTTTCTAGCCCCCCTCCCCCACACTGGATAGAATTTAAGCTAGAATTTTCCCTTTGGATAGAAGAACAAAAAATGAACATGTTATTTGTAAATTGATATTTAGTAACTAGTGATAAACTTGAAATACTAGAATACATTATAAGCCTCAATCATAGGTAGTTTTATGAAAATGAATCTTTTAGCTGTCTTTTGAACCTGTATTCACATTGGTTTTCAAGATATTTTAAGCTATATTTTTTCCTCTTTTCAGAACTGCTTCTTATTCTGGGGCTACTTTTTTTTAAATTGTGTAATTCACAAGGGGCTGCATTTTTTTTTTTTTTTTTTTTTTTTTTTTTGGATAAGGCTTATAACTATGGCTGGATGTTTTGCTCTAGTCTTCTAAGAAGGAGCATTCTATTTTTTAGAGTCACTCCTAAAGTCATGTGGTAGTTAACTTTGGAGACTATTTTGCATATGAGTGCTGATAAAATTAAAACCCAAGTAGATCTCATTGCATGTCACCCTATGAATGCTGACAATGGAAGGAATACCTTGCTTGTAGAATACTGTCACTTCTGGACTGAAAAGCTGAGGGAGAAAGTTAATTTTCTTTTTCGCTTAAGTCAGAAAAACTTACAGCTGGTGTTCCCAGTTTCCTGGTTGACCTTAGCAGATGAAGTGAACAGATGTGTTAATTCAGACTGAAGAAATTATCTGAATCTTGGTTTGTGTAGATTTACAATCTACATGCCATATTAACTAAATCAGATCGCTTTTACAGTTTCTTATGTGTACATAGGTTCCCTTCCAGCTCCTTCATATCCATTAGTCCTTGAACTTTCTAAACTGGCATTGAAAAATTACAACGTTTGGTTGCACCAATTTTAGAAACTTATGCAGTACAATATGTGTTATTTTTCTGAGGCAAAACCAAAGGTAAATTTCTGAAGGTTCTTGCTGTCTTCCTTAGCAGCATTTGATGGAAGATCTTTTATACACTTGTCATAGATAACAATAAACCAGATTGCAAATCCTTTTTTAAAATCTTAAACCAGATTTTTGGTCCAAATTGTGTAGGCTAAGTTAAACTTAAAATACATTCTATTAACCAATATGAGTGTATTTCTGTAAGCATAGTTATGTTGAAATAAAGTTTTAAAAAGCAAACAAACAAAAAATATCCAGTTTGGCTGAAGAGAACAGAGATATAAGGCCCAAAAGAAAGGACTAGATCTTATGAGCCGTCTAGGTTAGGATAGCAACATGTACATTATCTGTAGTGCCATTGAGCAGAGTGATTGTATAGGCTAGTTGTATACGTACTGTATATAATGGTTTACTCAGCACCCATCCAACTCACTTTCCCCTTTTTTCACTCATCAAAGCTGGAAAACAGAAGTCTCAACTTCCTAGCCTCATTTGCCACTAGGGGTGGCCAAGTAGCATAGACTGGGCCAAGGAAACGCAGGTGGGAATTTCTGAGGATGGCTTCCTTCTTAAATAGAAAGGTAAGGGGAGTTGGGAGAGTTAGCATGGGGAGAAGTGCTAGATGTGGGTGACGGGGAGGAAGGCAGCAGATCACACTACCACGTGTGTGCCTATGCAACAATCTTGCATGTTCTTCACATGTACCCCAAACCTAAAATGCAATAAAATAAAATTAAATTAAAAAAAAAAAAAGAGAGAAAGCTAAGCCCTTCGGAAAGGCTTTTGGCTTTTGCTCCTCCCTTTCTTTTTGCCTGGAATGAAGATAGGATGCCGGGACAGAGCAGGCATTCAATGAGTTTGCCCAAGGTCAGAGGGGCACATTAACGACAGAGCCCAGCAAGAGAAGGAGCCTGTGTCCTCGATGGCAGCCTCAAGGCAACAACTCCTCTGAACTTCTTATTTGAGGAAAACAAACTTTAGTGTTTTCCAGGTTTTTTGTTACATGGAGCTTAGTGATTTCTAACAGGCACAGTGGATATGAACAAAGACTGTGGCGTCAGAAAGACTAGAGTGAGTCCCATATCTTTCTCACTAGCGAAGTGAGTAAATCACCTAAATCTCTGAACCTCTCATGTTTCTCATCTGTAAAATGAAGGTAAAATAGCACCTACCTCAGGGATGTGGTGAGGAGGAATGACTCAGCCTGTGATCCCATCAGCACAATGTTTGCCACACAGGTACTTAACATATGTTAGTGATTATTATGATGAAGACATGGTTAGAGAAATTTAATTATAATGGATGGTAAAAGTTGCCCTTTTTAGTTCTTTAAAAAACCGAACATAGTTTCTGCATGTGTCCGTATAAGGTCTTTGATAAAATTGTCCCTCCTTGTTCCAGCAACTTCTAACGCTGGCTCTAACGATTTGTCATCACATCTAGCTGTGCTCTTGCTTTACTAACAATGCCTTTGACTTTTGAGGCTTTTGAACAAACTTTTAATGAGTCTGAGAGTTCGCTAATCAAAGCCAACTCCAATGCTTCTTGATGTAGCGTTCTTCAGCATCCCTCTGTAATCTTCAGCAATAATGCTTACTTAATGATAACAACCTAAGTCACATGGTATTGCAGATACTTGCTTATCCATTTTTGTTGTCTGCAGACCTAATTTCTTCAAGCGTGGGGACTATATGTTTTACACCTTTACATTGTGATTAGCTGATATTCAAAATATATTAGTTGCTTGTTTTCTTTATCTACAGTATGAGTTCCACATTGGTAGTACCTATCAGTGCCTAAAACAGTCATTGGCACACAGTAGATGCTCATTAAATATTTACTGAGTGAATGGCAGTTTCTCAATAGATTTTCTGAATAAAATTCTGCCAGGCTCTCAAGACAATGTTTGTGAAGGTTAATTTTAAGTAAGTTTCAACTTGACTGGATTTAGGGATCCCAGGGGAGCTGGTTAGCATTATTTCTGGGATATCTGTGAGTAATTCTGGAAGAGATTGGTATTGGAATTAGTGAACGGAGTCAGAATCTCCTTCACCCAATGTGGGCAGCTGCTATCCAATTGGCTGAGGGCCAGATAAAAAGGCAGAGAAAAGGTGAATTCTTTCTCCTCTGGAACTGGGACATCCATCTTCTCCTGCTCTTGGATATCTGAACCCCAGCCAGATTCTCAGGCCTTCAGACTTGGACTGAGCCATGCTCCTAGTTTCCCTGGCACACAGCCTATGGTGGCACTTCTCAGCCTCCATAATACTGTAAGCCAATTCTCCTAACAAACAAACATCCCCCCCTCCATATATATATATATATTCATCAACTTTAAATGGGGTTACATCCCAATAAGCCCATTGTAAATTTAAAATATTGTCAGTTGAAAAATGTATTTAACACACCTATTTCACTCAATGTCAGAGCTTAGCCAAGCCTACTTAAATGTGCTCAGAACACTTACGTTAGCCTACAGTTGGACAAAATCATCTAATACAAAGCCTCTTTTAGAATAAGGTGTTGAATATCTCATGGGATTTACTGAACAGAGTATACTGAAGAGTGTCAGTTGTTTACTTGTGATCCCATGGCTGACTGAGAGCTGTGTCTTGCTGCCACTGCCCATAATCACAGCAGAGTATTGCTATCTTGTGAAGAGATTAAAATTCAAAGTAAACTTTTCACTGAATGCATATTGCTCTCACACCATCCTGAAGTTGAAAATCACAAGTTGAACCATGATAAGTCAGGGACCATCTGCATATATTCTACTGGTTTTGTCTCTCTAGAGAATGCTAATACAGATTTTGGTACCAGAGGTGGTTCTAGAGGAATCAAATTTTAAGGATGAGTTTCCTGAGTTGGTTTTGGGGTTCCTGGAATTGGCTCTCTAGCCTGATTAGATTTAAAAATGCTAAAGGCTCTACCTATTTTATTTTTTGTTTTGAGATGGGGTCTCACTCTTGCCCAGGTTGGAGTGCAGTGGCATCATCATAGCTCACTGCAGCCTTGAATTCCTAGGCCATCCTCCTGCCTCAGCCCTCCAAATTAACTTTTTTTTTTTTTTTTTTTTTTTTTTGTAGAGATGAGGTCTCACTATGTTGCCCAGGCTGGTCTCAAACTTCTGGTCTCAAGTGCTCCTTCTGCCTCAGTTTCCCAAGGTATTGGGATTACATGCATGAGCCACTGCGCCCAGCCTGGCTCTCCTTTCAATAGTACAGAGAGCACTGATTATCCATGACATTAACTGTTCATAGAGATATGCAAAATGTCTGCATTGGATATTCCTAATCAACTACTTCTTAGAGGTGAGGAACTTAGTGACTCTGTATATAATACTCCCTGTTTTTCCCTTCCGAGAAGGAGTCTTGCTCTGTCGCCTAGGCTGGAGTGCAGTGGCATGATCTTGGCTCACTGCAGCCTTGCCTCCTGGGTTCAAGCGATTTTCCTGCCTCAGTCTTCCAAGTAGCGGAGATTAGAGGCATGTGCTACCACGCCTGGTTAATTTTTGTGTTCTTCCAGAGACAGGGTTTCACCATGTTGGCCAGGCTGGTCTTGAACTCTTGACCTCATGATACGCCCACCTCAGCATCCCAAAGTGCTGGGATTACAGGCATGAGCCACCATGGCCAGTCCTATAATATTTTAAAATATTTGCGGAACTCTAAGAAATGTAACAATGTTGGTTGGTTGCTCCTAATATTGTTGGGCAAAGTTATTAAAAAAAAAAAAAAAAAAAAAAAAAGGATGACTTCAGGAACTCAAATTCCTGGCTCAAGCTCCACATAAGTAACCTAAGGGCTTCTAGGTGTGCCCTGAAAGAGGATCTTCTCCTGTAGCCATGAGCCTAAAATTGCTGAAAATTAAACACCAGTCTTCATCATTTGATTGGTGCAATTACAAAAGGTGAACTCCGCCTCATTGTGTCTACTGGTACAATGGGCCACAGTGATTGAGAGTGAGATTCTAAAAGTTGGAATGGGGACATGTGGGAAGACCGTGAAGCCAGGAACCTTGAGGTCTTTTTTTTTTTTTGAGACAGTTTCACTGCTGCCCAGGCTGCTGGAGTGCAATGGCATGATCTTGGCTCACTACAACGCTGACTTCCTGGGCACAAGTGATCTTCCCACCTCAGCACCCCCGAGTAGCTGAGACTATTGGCACATGCCACCATGCCAGGCTAATTTTTATATTTTTTTGTAGAGTCAGGGTTTCACTATGTTGCCCAGGCTGGTCATGGACTTCTACGCTCAAGAGTCCCACATACCTCAGCCTCCCAAAGTGCTGGGTCCTACATTCTGATGAGTTGTTTCTGCCAGCTGAGGTGGCCTCTTCAACCTTGTTGGGGTTGGTAATGGCCTTTCCAACTCTGTCTGAGGGGTTAATCCTGCATTGCCTGAGGAAATAATAATGACCTCCACTGAGACAGCTGCCAAGCAAGACAATGCTGATTTTCCTCAGGACCCACCCCACCACTGCTCTATGCTCCTAGACTTGTAACTAGACTCAAGTCCCAGCAGATCCCTAATGTGAGGTAAAAAGTGTGGCCCATGAGGAGCTTCATCACACTCAAAAGAACCACTTGAGTTTTCTAACTTATATAAGCAGATATCTGGGGAAAATGTATGGGAACAGATGTTCAGGATGTGGGATAATGGAAGCAAAAGGGACAGAGAGCTTATTTGAAGAAACAATGGCCACAAACTTCCCAAATTTGAGGAAGAAAATGGACACCCAAATTCAAAAGTTAAGCAATATTTGACTAGGCTGGCTACCTGATAACTGGTAAATTTTTAATAGTTTTAAAGTAGTTTTATCATCCACGTGAACATAACCACTACTTTGGGTTACTTTTGTTCAGTGGAGGAACACACATAAAGAAGCAAACCTGCAGGTCCGTTAGTGTTTTGTTTGGGTAAGGGGGAAAGTAGAAGACAGACTCTCAAGGTACAGGTCTGGGGGAAAGGACTGTGTAGGAAGGGACAGTTTCTACTTAGTTCTAGTGAATTCCTTTGGTGCTATGTTAAAATAAGGGAAAATATCCAGTCCACAGACTTTAAAATACTGGATATGATGCAATCAATAATCTCTCCCTTTGAATGAATCTTACCAAAGAGCCAAGTATGCCTTGAAATCACTCTGACTCTGTTCTATAACCTAATGCAACTTGTTTTAAGTGGTATGCAACTTGTTTTATGGTATAAAATATCAAATATCCTCTAAATCCATAGTTCTTGGAGTTTTACAGGATCACAGGCCTCTCTGAGAATATAAAACAAAGTATAAACCCTAGTATCCCCTCCCCCAAAATAAATCCATACAAAAAAGTTCACAAAAAATTTCAAAAGTTTTACAGATTGCAAGAATCCCATCCATATATGCTTTATATATCTGTGGGGACTATAGGTTTAGAAAACTTTACTTTGATAAAAACTGTGGTATTGTATGTCTACAATGAAGACGTAGAATAAATGCTCTACAGGTTCCTTCAGGTTGAGAGTAAGGGGCAATGAAAAACAAAGTCTAATAATAAACCAACCAATTTAGAGAGTTTGTATAGGAATTGGGATAGGTAGGTTACCAGAAATGTGAGAAAGAACTTCTGTGGTTATTATAGTAAAAAGAATATTAGAACTGGAAAATTAAGAGGACATAACCTCTGCTATCCTTTAAGAATTTAAATCCAAGCAGGGTGTGTATATGTATTCATAGCAAAATCCTGAGTCAGCAAAAGAGACTACCTCACCAAGAAACCATTAACATTATACAGAAGAGCAGTGATTCATAACTACTCAACATTTATTGAATGTGTAAGGTGTTAAAAATGTTTAAATTTTGTTAATAAAATATATTAATGTCTGTATTATGCTTTTGAATATGCTAAATCATGTAGTTAACTTTACATTTCCTTCAATAACTTTATTCTTTACAAAATATACAAATAAATAAAACAATTCACCTTTTAAAAGTATTACCACGTGCAAGAAGAAGGTAATTCCTATCACCATTCTAAATTACCACAAGGCATTGTTTCCTCCTCCCTTATTTTTCAACTCTAGTGGTAAAGTTAAAAGACTGAATTGAAATTAAGCTGTACTATGACATCATTAGCAGGGACAGACACATAAAGTCATTTCCAAACAAGGAATGCTGAACCTCCCGAAAAGGGATGAAGAGGAGTCTACTGAGTTTTGCACTCAGGTACATCTTTTCCTGAGGAGGCGTGCCAAGGACCTGGTTGAGAATCCACACTCTCTGCTCCTGCATTTTGTATCTCTGAGAAAGAAAATGAAAACAACATTAATCCTATTATAAAAATACACAAAAACCAAGCACAGCTGGAAATAGAAAGGACTGTTAAGACAGGAGAGATGTGAAGAATGACAAATGGCAATATGGTTCATCATGTTTGGTCATGAAGATGGTGTATTTCACCTCAGAGTTGGAGAAGTTTACTCTCCATTTTGTCTTAAAATGAACAATTAGAAAAACCATAGTTAAACTGAGAAGTAATAAAGTTTTATTGGGAATTCTTCAATTTGAAATTCAAAGTGAACCAAACATGGACTGATTTTTATTTTCTTTCTTCCTATTTTTCAAAATAGTATGCTAAACAAATAGTATTTTAGAGAATATTTAGCCATGTTTGGAAAGCTTTCTACGATCCTTTAAAAAGGACTTTAGCTGCATCTATGTGATTATAAACAGTATTCATTTTACAATTATTATATTTATGAAAGTAAATATAGCATAACTGGTCTTGGCAATTACCTTAGTTTGTTAAGGTAATTTAGATTACCTTTTATAATTAAAAGTACAAACTCACGTTTACTTTTTAAAAGACTGCTATTAATTCAAACTGGGCCTATCTCCTTTAATTCTGAATTGGTCAGTTTTTGATTTAGGTATTCCTCTAGGCTACTCTTTTATTTATCTAAAAACAGTACCAGCGAGATCCATGTATTAACAAAGGAACTCAAACATTTTTATTTGCAGTTTGATGAATTCACATTATGCATATGCCTCAGGCACTAGCAGACAAAATCAGAAGGTGATTACAGCTGGGTGTGGTAGCATGCACTTGTAGTCCTTGACGCTTGTGAGGATTGCCTGAGCCGAGGAGTTCAAGGCCAGCCTGGGCAACATAGAGAGACAGTCCCATACAAGTGTTACGTAGCCAAGAGAAGGTCCTTACATGTTTGTTAAATACTACTTAATGAAGAGAATACTTCAAACATTTTTTTTTCCCAAATGTTTTTGTGCCTACCTATCTCCCTAAGAACACTTTTAAACTGTCAACTTGATCTAATTTTGATATAGTTGATGAGAATGGATGGATTTTTTTCTTAATCACAAAGTAGAGGTTTTACAAACTCCGGCAAACATTGCTCAAGGTTTTAAATGATTTGGCAACTGCCTTTCTTAGGGTACAATTTTGTTGCTTTAGATTTCTACAGTTGCATAACAGGGTACCTCTGGTAGGTAGATACATTGTCACAAAGGGCTGTGCACAATAGATGCTATGTGGTGAGAAAGCCTACAAGAAATGCAGTGTTTGTTTCTCCTGCAGGGCCCCCCACTTCTGTGGACAACGTCCATGCAGAACTAGGGATGATCCTTGATATCCCTAGTTCTCCTTTGTTCAATCCGGTGCCTGGTATTGCTGATTTTACTCCAAAATCTCTCCCATTGGTCTACTTTTCTCCATCTCTACTCCAAGTCCACACTACCATCATGTCTTGTTCAGACAACTGTCAAACTCTTGCTCCTATTATTTTTTTGGTCACCTTAGAGATGAGTGATGTTTTCAAAATGTATAACTCATGTTCTCCTGTCATCGCTTAAGAGCTTTCAAAGACTTCCTCTACACAATAAATGAAAAAAATTCCTTTATACAATTTACAAAAGACCAGCATTTCCGGCTTTTATCTCTCTCTTTGGGCTCACTGACTTCACCCATACAAGCTTGTACTCACTGTGCTCTGACCACACTGTATTTCTTTCAACTCTTCACCTGGTCATATTCCCATCTACCCTAATGCTGTCGCCGTTCCATCTGCCCGAGATGCTTTTCACTTTCCTCTTTGTTAAGAGAATTCATGTTAACCTTTTAGATCTGATCTGTTTCCTTCCTCAATATTCCTCATACCTATTATATTCCTCATAGTCTTTTGTACTTGCACTGCTAGAATTTCACTTTTTTTTTTTTTTTAACCACTTTATTACTGTCTGTATCTTCTATCAGAATTAAGCTCTATGAAGGCAGGGACCATGTCTGGCTTTGCTTATCAATGTGCCACCAGGATCTAATCCTTAAAACATAGTAGGGGCTAAAAACAATTTTGTTGATTGAATAAATGAATAGGTAAATGATTCAAGTCTATTATCTGGCTTGAGTAGAGTGAATATAATGCTACTGGATATTTTGGTCCATTAAATTGGTAAGACTTATCAGTAAAAGTTTTTTTTAGGGTATTATCTTCATGTCCTTGAGAAAGTTGCTTGTTTCTCTTTGGACAAAACTATGGGCTTAAATGGTAGAATAAAGACTTCACTTGGGGTTAAAAGTGATTACACTTCATTGCTGTGCCTTGGAGAAACCAACTTTCTTAAACAGAGTCAGCAAATGAAGCCTGTCATTGTAGCTTACTCAATTAAATCTTCTCTTATCTAACTTGCCCCTTGGGATCAAATATTAACGATAAGTTCCAACTGTTACCCTCCGATTTCAAAGTAACTTGTATATTTACTTACCTGGACAAAGGCCTAAACTTGAGTTATCAAAATAGCGAACCGGATGAGGTGATGGTAAAGACTTTGATCGGCTATCAAAAAAACAAGGTTTTGGCGATTCCTTTGGCACAGGATCTTGTAAATTCCGTTCCCTGCATTGAGAGGGTGTAATCTGTTTCTTTTTAGAAACTGTTCCAGTCACTTTAGGAGACTTTGGAGAATTCTCACAAATTACTTGTTTGTGAGCCTCTCTTTTAAGGGCTCTGTCCTTCCAAGTTTTGACCTCATTAGAAAGATGCTGATTATTGCTTTAATGTGGGGGAAAAAAGAGAGACTGTAAGCCTTCTTGATTCTTAAGATGTATTCACATTTACATTTAAAACTTAAAAATAAATTGTGATGAAATATATATAACATAAAATTTACCATTTTCTATTTATATTTTAATTTTAACCTCATGCTTCCTGTTTTGACTATTTCCAGGGTTCCAAAAACAAAATGGATCTATATAAATTGAATAATGTAGTAAAGTTCCATGATCATGGAGTCTTGAAAAGAAAACTCAAAATACAACATTAGGTTTTCAAATGAATCAATGACATAATCCAGAGTGGCTTATCTATTGATACACTGCCAAATAATTTGATGAATTAGTCTCCTGGATAGATGAATCTTTGATGTACCTTTCTTACTGTAAAAGAAATATTACACTGTGCTTTTCTAGTTACAGTGCTGCTTCTTACAGGAGATGCTACAAGCATTTATCCAGTTCCTCCAGAAGAAAACCTAGGAAGCAATCCTAGAGATCTCACTCTCTTTTATTTAACATCTATCCAAGTCTCTTCATACAATCTCATCCTACCTATCAAATTCATTTCCTTGTTTTTATCCCTATTGTAGCCAACCCAGTCCATGCTAAAATTATCTTCTGCCTTAACTACCATAAACACATTCTAAAACTGGGTCCCTCTATAATATGCTAGCAGCCAAAGATGCTATATGATCTTATCAGGCCACTGGCTTAAAACCCTCAAGTGCAGATAATCCTGCCATTATTTAGGATACCACTGCAAATTCTTCAGAATGGCCCATAACGGCCTGGGTAATCTGAATCCAGTTACCTCTGGCACTTCATCTTGCACTTTACTCTGCCTCATTCTCTACACCCTGGCCACAGTGGATGTCTTTCAGTCCCACTCATTACTTATTCTTCTTGACTCAAAGCCTATGAACATGTTGTTCCCCTGTCCTGGAAGACTTACCCTTCTTCTCCTCTCATCTAGCCTAATTCCTACTCATTTTTCAGATCTATTCCAATACAGGAGTACCTTGGAGATATGGCGGGTTTTGTTCCAGATCACTGCAATAAAGTGAATCACAGAAATCTTTCGGGTTCCCAGTATATACAGTAGATAGATTAATGCAGTAAAACAAGGTATGCCTGTTTGTTGGCTTCCTGATCAACCAACCCTCTACTCCTAACACCTAGATAATATTAGGTCTTTCATAATATAACCCTTTTATAATGTCCTTTTTGTTTTTGTTTCTGTTTCTAATAGCACTCATGGCAAAGAGTTAGTTATTTGTAAAATTATTTAATGCTTTTTATTTCCTACGATATCATAGTAGAATGCTTGGCAAAAAGATTCTAATCTTCCACTGTGGTAGAAGCCAAATAATTTGTTAGATCTGTTAATAAAGTAAAAAGCCTACAATAATGAACGTAAGGAGTTCTTCTCTAAGTAAAGCCTCACTGGCTTGGGTATATGGACTTGTGTATGTCAGCTACCCCCTCAAAGGTCTTTGTTTATTTCCTGTTTCTTGGCTTAGTTAAGAATAGGTCAATTGACAGCAAATATTGTAATAGTGCTACAATATTCTAATTTTTTTAAAAAAAATTATATGAGCTATAAAAATTATTTTCCCCATAATGAGTAAAGGGTTACCACCTGCAAAAAATATGTGCATATACCATATATCCTAGATATATGAAATAGCCATAAGCATAATATCTGTATCATATAAGCAGATCTTACCTTAACAATTCATTCTTTTGCTTTATTAGCTCTTCATTTTGCTGCTTTAACTTAGAAACTTCCTTTTCTAGCCTTATATGCTCACTTTTCAAAATAAGAGCTTTTGTGTTTTGTACAATGCCACTGCCACCTCCACAAGTTAAGGGTTTATTTGAAGGCTGAGAATCAGTATGTTCTGATATCACTGTGGGAGGCAAATACACAAATAGGTGACTGTCTCCAAAGTTCAAAATAAAGGAAACACTACTAAGTACAATAAGCCATCATAGAGACCCAAACACCTCAAGTGTTATTTTCCTGGAAGTCACCTTTGACTTCCACCTTCTACCTTACTCCCTCTGCTTATTTGACCAGCCATCAATTCTAAATGCTTCTAGAATCCCCCTTAACCAATTCCAATAACATATCCAGAATACTAAGATCTTTCACCCTGACTGCAGCAATAGCAATCATCTCCACTTACAGCTATCCTTCATTGATCTATATCTTCCACATCAGTTTTCCCCTGGAGGGCTTGTTACAACAGTGTGTGCATGGCCAAGAGGTGAGGTAGGGTGGGAGGGCCACCTCGCCACTCAGTGCATTATATATATTCAATACATGTTTATTAACTAAATATACGTTGGAATATTAAAGCACATGTGAAATATTCTACACTATGTGTGTAAAGAGACTGTGTTTTATAAATTATAGGCAAAGTTGCATAAAAACGTGAGGTAGTTAGGAAGGGGATTAATCCTTTAGGTCACTCGGAATACACAAAAGAGGGATAGTGTGTATGTAGGAGGTGATTCTCAATGTCTATTTTATTTTGAATTCAGTTACACTATGTACCTGAAAGTCACCTACAAATCAAGTGTACTTATCCTCAACCTCCTGAAACAGAATCCTCACTTCTATTTTTACCCCTTTAAGTTTTCCCACTAGGAGCTGTGGTTATCCTGTAACAGACACTAGGTAAGTTTAAGCTACAATAGGTACTAGGCAACACCTTAAAATCTTTAGCACCACCATCTCTATTTTTTTTTTTTTAAACGAATGGACAATAATATAAGCAAGTATCATCTTATGTTTTGCTTAGTATTTGGAAATTTCAATGTGCTTTTACCCACAACTTTTGGTTTGAGCTTCAAAAGTGTGTGTGTGTGTAATTAATTGAGGGGGATTCTAGAGGCATTTAGAATTGATGGTTGGTAAAATAAGCCAGGTGAGTAAGATAGAAGGCAGAAGTCAAGGGTTACTTGTTAATAAGTTAATAAGTATATATATATATATATATATATATATATGTGTGTGTGTGTGTGTGTGTGTGTGTGTATATACATATATATATATATACTTATAAGTGTGTATATAAAAGCGTATACTTATAAGTATATATACATATAGAAATTAGAAGGTCAGGTGTTAACTCCACGATTTCACATAGCCGTTTTAAGTGAGATCTGTATCTGACTTAGTTCAGTACTTGTTCTACTGAGCAAAGCTATCCCAAATACTGTTCAAGCATTCTTTCATTTCAAACAGAACATGACAGACAGAAATATGAAAAAGGCAGTTTGAGGAATGCATGTATTTTGAGAAATTTGACCTCCAGATCTAAAAAGTATATCTCAGATAAATTTCAAAGACCTTTGCAAGTAAATATTAAATTGATATATTTGGTTTTAAGAACAGAATATTTATTTTTACTGTGCACCAATTATAAATTATTAGATGCATACAATTAAAATCTATGAAAACATGTGTTTCATTTTATTGGGAAACATACTTCTATGTTGATAGTTAAGTCATTCTTTTATTGCCTGAAGGTATCTTCACTGTTAGATAAAGAATTGATAATACAAAAGCAGAGTTCATATTTTTTAAGAATCTATAATGGATAAGCAGCTAAGATTATAACAAACTAAGATGTCACAAGATATCTGGAAATACGGTTCCAATAAATTCATTTAAAAATAGATTAGTGGTCAACTTCTGTTTACTCTTGACTGTCACATACATAATGGTAATCTTCAAAATCTGTTGTGTATTGAGAAGCAAAATTTAAAGGATCTGAGAATGTCTGCATTTTCTACTTACTTGAGGTATCATGGGCCTGCTGACTTCTTCTCAGATTTTCTCTCAATACCCTTATAACTTCTTCTTGATGTTCCACAGTGGCTTTTATAGCAGTGATTCTAACAAGAACAATAAAAATGTGTAAACAGTTCAGCAACTAATTTTTTACAGGAGAATAAACAGAACTGCTGTGAAGGACTTTCTAATACATCACATTGACATAACGCCTATAAGTGGCAGTAGATAAGCCCCGTGATATTTCTCTGGTGTCATGCCCCTTATGGCATTAATGCCATCAAATTAGAAGCATTCTGCTTGGGTGCAAGGACAGTCCGATTTTCTTATATTGAGAAACCAATTCTTTTAAACCTTCTAGAAGCCTAATAACTATTCATTAGATATTGAACAAAATTATAATTACATAATTATTTTTTACCCTGGGGTTCTAGAAATATCTTGAAGGTATAATTATCAGGAGCATGAAAGAGAAAGTGCAGCTTTCTTTCTACATGGTCAGGAAGGCAAACCCTGTCTGCAGCTCTGGTCTAAGATGCTACGAAGGTCAGAGTCGAAAGTTAGTTTAGGCATTAATCCGCAATGATAACGTATAAGACTTTCTGCCTTTCCTAATGACTATGAATGTATCTGGTAACACTATTCTATAAGTAAAATTGCTTTCATAACAATAGGCTGCTTAAAGAGCATGAAAATTCCGAGTGCTACTTCCTGGGCAAAATAAGAGATCATTAAATATTTATTCAAGATTTATAGGATGAATGAAATGTATTAAGACCCAGAAGGCATCTTAACAAATCCTCTAATATAAACCTTTACTTATTGATTATGAAAGAAAGGACCAGAGAGAATAAATAGTGTAAGGTGATGCATTAGTGAGAACATTTCTAATTCAGTTTCCTTGACTATCTGTTTTATGTTCTTTTCATTATGCTATACCACAAAGAATTTAGGCATGCTGTTATATATAATGCTACCTATAAATCAATAAAAAGAGGATTTGCTCTTGAGCTCTAGGCTACTATAAACTATAAGGAAATATAACCTTTACACAAAAACACAGTAAGAACAACAAATGAAGTTAAGAGAACCAACAGAAACCTTTGTCAAACTGCTACACACACACACACACACACACACACACACACACACACTCTCTCTCTCTCTCTCTCTCTCTCTCTCTCTCTCAATATTCACTTTCAGGCATAAAAAAGCAACTTAAAATTGTTTATATTATATATGACTGACAAAGAAGTGTTCAAAGACTGTGTTAATTGATCAGAATTGTGCTTAGTTTTAAAAACTTTGCATATGTAATGAGACTTTAGTATATTTAGAATCTGTGGATGTTTATATTTTTTAAAAAAGAACACTAACAATATTTTCATAATTTTAAAAAGTTAACTACCAAAAAGTATATGTAATTTAGGAAGAAAATTTAAGCTATTAAAATCACATTCAATTAAGACAAATACATACTTCTTTTCAAATTCTTTGGCATTTTTCATTTTCTCTAGGTCTATTTTCATGAGCTTCATTTTGAGATCTTCAATTTCTTCTTTATATGGCTTAGCTCCTGAAGCAACTTTGTCCTAATTTTTTTTTTAGAGAAAATAAAAATAATAATTAGAGCAGCTTAAATTTCTTCAGTTTTAAAGAATGGTTAGCTATTTTTGCTCTAATGTCATTTAAAAATAGCAAATATATGAAAATGAATAAATTTTAAATGAATATCTAGATATTGATATGAAGTCCACTTGAAGCTAATATGAAATTAGAAGCATGAATTTTTATTTGAAGCTATTATAATGCAATTAGAAACATGATTTTTATTTCTTAAAATATTTTTTTCCAATTGAAAATATCTACAAAGTGAAATAGGTTGAAAATAATGAAATGGGTGGAAAAAGCAAATCAGAAAATGAAACAAAAAGATGTTGGAGCAGTGATGTAGACATCAACCTAGATGTCTCAACTAAATTCAAGTCACAAAACAAAGCATTACTAGGTATATTTTGTACTGAAACATAGTTCCATCCAGTGATATAAAACACAATATTTTAAAGCAGCAGTTTCAGGTTTACAGAAAAATGGAATGGAAAATGCTGAGAGTTCCTATATATCCAGTGTCCTCTATTCCTTTGTCCCCATATTAACATCATGCATTAGTATGGTACATTTGTTATAAGTGAACTAATGCTGATACATTATTATTAATTAAAAATCTATAATTTCCACGCCAGTTTATTTGTATTATACATTTTGTGGATTTTCACAAATGTAAAATGATACATGTCCATCATTACAATATCATGCAGAATACTTTCATTGTCCTAAAAAACCCTGTGCTTTGCCTATTCATCCCTCTCTTCTCCACTATCCCTGGCAACTGCTAATCTTTTTACTGTTTCTGTAGTTTTGCCTTTCTAAAAATGTCATACACTTGAAGTCATGCAGTATGTAGCCTTTTCAGATTGACTTCTTTCACTAAGCAATTTGTATGTAAGGTCCTCTCATTTCTTTCTCTTTTTTTTTTTGAGATGGAGTTTTGCTCTTGTTGCCCAGGCTGGAGTGCAGTGGTACAATCTCGGCTCACTGCAACCTCTGTGTCCAGGGTTCAAGCAATTCTCCTGCTTCAGCCGCCCCAGTAGCTGGGACTACAGGTGCACACCACCATGCCTAGTTAATGTTTTATATTTTCAGTAGAGATAGGGTTTCACCATGTTGGGCAGGCTGGTCTCCAACTCCTGACCTCAGGTGATCTGACAGCTTGGCTTCCCAAAGTGCTGGGATTACAGGCATGAGCCACTGCACCTGGCCCTCTCATTTCTTTTAATTGCTGAATAATATTCCACTGTATGGATGTACCACAGTTTATCCCTTTACCCACTGAAAGACAGCTTGGTTGTGTCTAAGTCTTGGCAATTATGAATACAGCTGCTATTAACATACACACACAGCCCTTTGTATGAACATACATTCTCAGCTCATCTGAGTAAATACTGAGGAACACAACTGCTTGATCATACAAGTATGCTTAGTTTTGTAAGAAATTGCCAAACCGTCTTCTGAAATGGCTGTAGCATTTTGCATTTCTACCAGCAATTAATTGTTATTAATTGCCTGTTGCTCTAGACATCAGCATTTGGTATTGTCAGAGTTTTGGATTTTAGCTATTCTGGTAAGTTTGTAATGGTCTATTATTTTAATTTGTGATTCTCTAATGACATATGATGTGAAGCATCTTTTCATATGGTCATTTGTCATCTGCATATCTTCTCTGGTGAGATGTCTGTTCAGATCTTTTGCCTATTTTGAGACTGGTTCTTTGTTTCTTATTGCTGGTTTTGAGTTCTTTGTATATTTTATGTAACATTCCATCACCAGATTCATCTTTTACATATAGTTTCTGCCAGTCTGTGTCTTCTCTTTATTCTTTTAACAGCATCTTGCAAAGCAGAAGTTTAAGTCTCAATAAAATCCAACTTACCAGATTTTTTTCTTTATTGATTGTACTTTTTGTATTATATCTAAAAAAATCTCCAAAGCCAAGGTCACTTAGAACCTCTCCTGTGTCATCTTTGTGGAGTTTTCCAGTTTTGCATTTTACATTTATATGATCCATTTTAAGTTAATTTTTTTGAAAATTATAAGTTCTGTGTCTTTTTATGCTCGTGGATGTTTGGTTGTCTAGCATCATTAGTTGATCAGATTCTCCTTTTCCTTTGAGAAGCCTTTGTATCCATCTCACCCAGAATAGAAAGCAGAGTTCTTAAAATAGCTTACAGGAGCTTTATGATCTGGCCTCCGCTACTTCTCACCTTATTTTCTGCCTCTATCCTCTTGCTCATTCTGCCCCGGATACCCTAAGTTTCTTGTTTTCAGTTTGCTATTTCCTTTGCCTGGAACATTTCTCCCTGGCCGCACAGTCGTCCTGCCACTTCCTTCAGATAATCTTACTGGTGTGACATTCCTCAACCCCCCTATATATAATTATATCTCTTCCCACACACGTCCACCTTCACCCAGAACCATGTACTCCCTTGTCTAGCTTAATTTTTTTTCCATTTCACTTTTTGCCACTTGAGATATATACCTCTTAATTCATACATAAAAATATACCTTCTATATTTTACATTTTTAATTAATTTTCTGTCTCCTTCAAATAGAATGTAAGGTTCCTTGATGGCATGGACTTGTTTTTTTCACTGGCATCTATAACAGTGAGTGACACATAGATGGTGCTCAGCAAATATTTGTTGAATAAAAACTGTGATCAATTATTTGTAATATTAAAAAATTACAACATTCTAAAATGTTAGTTGAAATTTTTTAGTTTCTAGCTATACCAACAATTGTCTAAAGACAAAATTAGTATTTTCTCTTGCTCTCTGCTCATGTCTCACTGAATAGACCAGAATTTTTAGAACAATGTTAAATAATGAAAAAACAGGCATTCTTGACCTGTTCCTAATTTTAACTGGAGTGAAGTGACACTGGAGCAGAACAGCAAATTTAAATATGCCAATTCAGATCAGACTTGAGTAGCAGAAATATGAGAAGTGTCTGGAACTAAAACAAAAGGGAGCTGTAAATAGTGATGAATGAGTATGTGATTTGTCTAATGACATTCAAGTTGAAAAACATTTAAATTATCGTTCTTCCCCCCAAAACAGGTCAGATTCGGACCACAGGACATCAGGTGAGACTCAGTAACAGGGGCAGTAAATAGAAAGAAAATAATTTAAAAATGCATCTAATAGTATTACATATTTTGATAACCAATTTTTTTGAAAAACAAAAAAATACACTTTAAAGTATAAAGAACGTGTCTTTAAAAAATTATTTTTCCAACATGATAAAAATATTTTATATGACAATATGCTCCTACATTTCACTTCTAAGTTACATTGCTTCTTCTTGAGTATTGAACTTCAGATACACATAGGTAATAAAGTTGTGTTGAGAGGGAAGAACAGATCACCAAGATATTTTCTGAATTCAGTAGGTTGAACAAACAAACAAACAACTTTTATTTTTATGTTTAAATTACCTGAAGTATTTGAATTGTCTCTTTTTGTTTTTCAAGGCATTTATTTGATTCATTAACTTTGGCTTGAAGTTTTGCTATTATGTCATTAGCCACCTCAAGTTCTTTTTGCATCTTTATAATCTTGCTTTCCTTATGCATAGCACTTTCTTTAGCTTCACGTAATGAAGTTTCCAGTTCCTGAAATTTCTATTAGAAAAAGCGCATATTCATAAGCTCTATCATGAACACAGAATCACAGTATACAAATTTGAGACAGAGATGATATTTAGGTATTGTTAATACATAACAAAGGATAGCAAAAAGAGGCCAAACAGCATTCAATCTACAGACATGTTATTTCCTTCATTTAGATGATTATTTTTGGATTAAAAATGCTGAAGGTTTATATTATACTCTGTCTGCAAATACTTAAAACATGCAGTTGAAAATAGCACAGTGGTTATGTGATTTATTAGTTAGCATAGTGCTAAGTATATTAAATAGCACTCATATTTTAAACAAACACTAAAAATAGTAGTGTTAATTGACTCTCTAAAGTAAATATATGTAATTTATCTTTCCCTTTACTTTCATTAATCTTCTCTTTTCTTTTTTTTTTTTTTGAGACGGCGTCTTACTCTGTTGCCCACACTGATTGCAGTGGCGCGACCTTGGCTAACTGCAACCTCTACCTCCTGGATTCAAGTAATTCTCCTGCCTCAGCCTCCTAAGTAGCTGGGACTACAGGTGTGTGCCATCATAGCTAGCTAATTTCTAATTTTTGTATTTTTTTTTTCCAGGTTTCTAGTGAATTTAATGCATGAGTCTCAAAAATCAATGGCAGAGGAGAAATGAATAAAATTAAAATGGGGTCAGAAGAGGGCCATGGGCACACACAGGATGGGCAGTGAGTGGCCGAGTTAGGAGCTGGAGCAGGGGAATTCCTGGGGTGTCACATCTCGTCCAACCCGTAGTCCTCCTCTGGGAAGCCCCCACCGTCACGACTGCTGGCTTGACGAAGGCGCTGTACTTGGCCTGGCATTCGAAGTAGCGTTTCCCATTCACACTGCCAGTTTTTCCCCAGTGGCTCATCATAGCGGACGCCAATCCAGTAGCCAGGCTTGAAATCTGTGAGACCTACATACATGACGGTGCCCCGGCGAGGGGACTGCCCCCGCCGCCCGCACCTCACAGCGGCTGCCCACTGGGCTGGAGCTGGCCTGGGCCTTCTCCTCAGCGAGGCGCTGGGCGGCCTCGGCCTCCTGCTGTGCCCGCTCCTCCTCGTTGTACCTGCCGAGCTTGCTGCGCTTCAGGAAGGAGCGGACCGTGTCTTGCCTCTGGTCGTAGGCTTCTTGTGAGACGGTGTACTTCTCCACCAAGGACACATCCTTATACTCACCAAGGCGGGCGCCGGTGTGGTCAATGACATGGATGCGGCAGCCGTCATCTACAGGGTAGGGGCCCAGCAGCGCATCTTCTTGATCTAGCTTGCTGTAGAACTTGTCGTCAACTCTGTACAGCTCCAATTCCATGCAGGATGCAGGGCTGCCCACTAGCAACTCCAGTTTTCTAATTTTTGTATTTTTAGTAGAGACAGGGTTTCACCACACTGGCCAGGCTGTTATCGAATTCCTGACCTCAGCTCATCTGCCTGCATATATTTTATTATCTGCTAGGCTCTTTTCTTGGGTCATTGAAGACAGACTGATTTTCCTTTTTTTTTAATTATTATTTTGGTAGATGGGTTTCATATTTTCTCTATTTTATCTCTACCAGTTGACTGAGTTCTGTAATGACCAACAAATCAAAACACTGTATACTTCTGATCTTCTAGTTTTCATTAAGCTGGTGGTTGATGTTTTATTACAAGTATTTATTTTGGTAAAAATGATAAATTGTAATTTGCTGTTGGGTTCCCCACTAAATCATTTTGTGTGCTAATAAAATACAACATTTTGCATGTGTTGTTAGACTCCCGAGTAAGAGTAGTTAATAAACTGGATTATTCAAATAAGGTACTGGTTCTTAGACACAAATTAATCTGCATAACAATCTTGTATATTTTTAACCTTTTAAATTTTTATTGTGATCAAAACATTAAGCAATATTAAATATGCTGATAATAAGAGAAAAGGTAAATTGCTATTTCTTTCCAAGCTAATATTTGTTCTGCATACGGACATAGATCACAGTTTAATAGAAAGTCACATGATTTGGAAAACTCATATGGTAATTATACCTTAAGTGGTAGCAACTTAAACTATATTTTATAAATTTAATAATCAAATGAAGGTATGATTTATCTGTTGCATAATTCAAAGATAAAATCTTACATAATGTCTAGCTTTATAATTAGTTTAGTTGAATGACAGCCACAGTAGAACTACTAATAAAAAACAAGCCCATCACACACAACAATAAATGTGTTCATGTTTGGTAATAAGTATATCCAATACTATAATTTTGCTCTAAACTCTAATGAAGCTGCAAATTAAAGAATGTTTTATAAGAAATTATATACCTCTGTGGTTAACTTTGTAGCTCTTGAGGTAACATGAGGATTCTTATTGTCTTGCATGGTAGGATTAACCTGGGCACCAGATGCCAAGGAGGTCTTCAATGTTTGGTAGTTTTTCAATAGTTTTTCATTTTTCTCTTTCAGTGATTTCAGATCCTGTTCCCATTCTTTGGATATGGCAGCACTTCTTTCCTCAAACTCTGTTGATTCATTCATTATTGCCTATTGAATATTAAAATACCATTATAGTCTAAAACGGTTTATAGTAGTCCCCACTTATCTGCGATTTTATTTTCCATGGTTTTAGTTACCCTCAGTCAAAAGTGGTCTGAATATGTTAAATGGGAAATTCCAGAAATAAGCAATTTACAAGTTTTGAATTGCACACCATTCTGAGTAGCACAGTGAAATCTTGAGTCATCCTGCTCAGTCTTGCCTGGGATGTAAATCATCCTGTTTTCCAGCATGTCCATACTGTACACACTGCTTGCGCATTCCTTAGTCACTAGATAGCCACCTTGATTATCCGATTGCTGCTGTATTGCAGTGCTTATGTTCAAGTAACCCTTATTTTACTTAATGGCCTCAAAACACAAGAGTAGTAATGCTGGCAATTTAGATATGCCACAGTGAAGCTGTCAACTGTTTCTTTTAATTGAAAAGGTAAAAGTTCTCAACTTAATAAGAAAAAAAAATCCTATGTTAAGATTGCTAAGATCTACGGTTAGAATGAATCTTTGAAATTGTGAAGAAGGAAAGAGAAATTCATGGTGTTTTTGCTGTAGCACTTCAACCTGCAACAGCATGTGATAAGTGCTTAGCTAAGCTAGAAAAGGCATTAAATTTGTGGTGGAAGACAAGAACAGAAAAAAGTAACATCAAGCCCTTTACTTCAAGTAAGAATTATTCATGGATTCAGGAATACAGAAGGCCAATAGCAGTCTAAGACTATATCAAAATGTCTATGTCACTCATATTCCTTCATCTTATCAGGCAGGCATTGTATCATCTCACATCATAAGAAAGGAGATTACAGTAAAATATTTTGAGAGAGTCCACATTTATATAACTTTAATTATGGTATATTGTTATAATTGTTCTATTAGTTGTTGTTTTTAATCTTGCTGTGCCTAATTTATAAACATTATCATAGATATGTATGTATAGAAAAAACAGAATATTCCCCTCCCATGGCGGCATGGAAGCTTTCTTTCTCTAATAAATTGCTTTTCCACCAAAAAAAAAAAAAAAAAAAAAAAAAAAAAAAAATCCAAAATACATAGGGTTTGGTACCATCCATGGCTTTAGGCATCCACACGGGGGAGGAGGGGTCTTGATATACATATTTAAAAGAAACCTAAAATTCTAGGACAGTATATATGCTGACATTCATTATTTAGAACATTCTAAAATAGTACTTTAAAAGAATGTGAACATTCTTTGTAGTTTGCATCAGTTTCTGAAATTTCAGATGTTGGATGTGGATGACAATAAAGCACAGTGGTTATGTGATTTATTAGTTAGCATAGTGCTAAGTATGTAGTATGTCATAATAAAATAATGACTAGAGAGGATTCATATTGATTTGCAAGATGATAATCTCACTTTATTAGATTTGTACTAACATAGGAAGAGAACTTGAAGAATTACACAGGTTAAAATTATATATGCTATGGCTGATAATGAAACATTAATTGATCTCTAACAGCACAGCTAGAAAGTTAACAATTATCTATTTTCCTGCTTCATTACAAACCTCAATGTTAATAGGGAAAAAAAACCATTTTTTTTTAAATTAATTGTTGGTAATTAATCTGATATCTTATATTTCTGTACAGGGAATAACAATACTCTTTTATATTGAAGATTAATTCTGAAATTACTGATTTCTTTATTTCCTAATTCATACAGATTGTACTTTCTGCTCTCATCATGAATGCCCCATTGGTCTCATCCATAACTTCGTTGTGGCTTTGTGGTCATTCTACCAGGCTCAGATCTTAAATTCATTGTGTTCCAGACACCCTGGACACTCCTTGACTCTGGACTACTGACCTCACACCATACCAAATTCTTAATGCCTACTCTTATGTGCTGAAAGAAGCCACATATACATGCTCATGCTGATCCACACAATAGAAATATCTACTCTCTAATCACAACTGGACCCTCAATATTATAAGAAAAACAATGAATTACAAATAGAGATTACCTTATCCAAACATGGGTTTTGTGCCTTTCTCTAGTGACCTTTTTTTTCTTGAAATAGCCAACTGCTATTTTGCTAGCTCTGGCTAATCAATAAATAGGATGAACTCTCCATGGAAAAACTTTTTTTAAAAGGCATTATTCCTTATTTTGATATGATTCCAATATAATTCGCAGATAAAATTGTGAGAAAAGAACTACACAAACATATGAAATACAAAATGTATCTTGAAAGCTATAATATTAATCTAGCTACCTGCTCCAATTTAATACAAACAAGCAATCTTTTGAATATTACAAGTTTTACCAATTATACAGAGAAGGGATTACCTCTGAAAGTAGGATGAATACCACGATTACTTTTGCACCAACCTAATACCAATCACTGAAATGTAAAACAAGTTAACAAACTGGTATTAAGCAATGTCGGTCCTTATGACTCAGTATATTTGGGATGATCACCTTGGGAACAATGATTTAAAAAAAGTCACAATTCTGGAGTTTCTAGTTTAGTATTTTAGGTGCTTAGAAGTTGCCAGTCCATATTAACAATAAGGAAAAAGCAAAACAAATGAAAAAATCCACAACTCTGCTTAGATCCATCAGAGCAGTAAGGTTGCAGGGCACAGGGATGCTCCCAAAATTGGAGAGACAGAGGGGCAGATAAAATCACAACTTAACAGAAACCTTTTTAGGAACCAGTTATGGTGTAGGAAACCTGAATGCAATGATGAATTATTAGAGCTCAGTGTGGCAACTCTGAGAGTTAAAAACTTCAGGGGTACCTAGTCATACAGTGGTCCGTCCCCACATTTTTGTGTTTTACCTTCAGGAGCTCTACCAGGTTATCACAGTTAATATTGGAAAAGTCCCTTTGTGAGCCTGGCAGGAGAGGAGAAAAGGAACCATTTTTAAATAAAAGAAAACAATCTCTCTTTTTTTTAAGGCCTGCCCTCAGCAGAAGCTATTTTACCAGAGCCTATCATGCTAGGGTTTTATCAGAGCCTAACTGGAGGAGGGGGCAATACTAAGTTTCAGCTGGCTCTTGCCTTCCATGTGAAGGCAGGGAAATCCACTCTACCCGCCACCCGCCACCCGCCACCCACCACCCACCACCCACACCTTGCCACTATACTACTAAAGGTCTATTTACTACAGTTACTTTTACCCAGTGAATCATACCTGCTTTTCAGCAAAATAAAAAATTCCGAGACATACTAGAGGGCAAAAAACACAGTTTGAAAAGACTGAATAATCATCAGAACCAGAGTCAGAAATGGCAGGAACCTTAGAGTTATCAGACTGGAAAGTTTTAAAAAATTGATAAATATGCTAGGGGCTTTAGTGGAAAAAGTAGACAACATGCAAGAACAAATGAACAATGTAAGAGACAGAAATTTTGAGAAAAAAATTAAATAAATGCAAGAGATCAAAAATGCTGTTAACAGAAATGAAGAATCCCTTTGAAGAGTTCATTAGTAGACTGGCTGAAGAAAGAAACTCAGCTTAGAAATAGGACAATGGAAACTTCCAAAACTGAAAAGCAAAGAGTAAAAAGACTGAAAAACAAACAAACAAAAAAACCAAAACCCTAAACACAACATCCTAAAACTGTGGGGCAAGTATGAAAGGTATAATGGATACATAATGGGCATACCAGGAAAATAGAAAAAGAAAGAGCAGGAATATGTGAAGTAATAATGACAAGAATTTTCCCAGATTAAAAAAAAAAAAAAAACCCCGCAAAAAACAAACAACAACAACAAAAACCTACATCTAAGCATGATGTGATATACATTCAAACTTCAGAAAACAAAAAATCTTTGAAGAAGCTAGAAGGGAGAAAATATCTTACCTATAGGGGAGTGAAGACAAGAATTACATCTGACTTCTCTGAAACTATGCAAGCTAGAAGACAGTGGAGTGAAAAAACATACCAACCTGTAATTCTATAAAATTATTCTTCAAAATTATTTTGTAAAATTATTCTTCAAAATTATTCTGTAAAATTATTCTTCAAAAGTGAAGTAGAAATAAAGACTTTCTGAGACAAACAAAAGTTGAGGGAATTTGTTGTCAGTAGACTGGCCTTGCAAGGAATGTTGAAAAGAAGTTCTTCAGAGGAAAGGAAAATGATATAGTCAGACTCAGATCTACATAAAAAAGGAAGAGTACCAGAGAAGGAATAAGTGAAGGTGAAACAAAAACTTATTTTCTTATTTTTAACTGAGATAACTTATGCAATCATGAATAAGTGAAATGAATGACAGCAATGATACAAAGGATGGGAAGGAGAAATTATAAATATTTTGTTATTATAAGGTACTTATACTATCTGTGAAGTGTAAAGTGTTATTTGAAACAACTTGGATTAGTTGTGAATGAATATTGCAAACTGTAGAGCAACCACTGAAACAAGACAGAAGTGTACTTGTATGCTACGCAGAGAAAATGGAATCATAATATAATTAAAACCATGAAAGGCAGAAAAAATGCAGAAGACAAAAATACGTACAAAGAATAAGGGCAAAAAGAAAACAGAAACAATATGGTAGATATTAATCTAGCTATATCAGTAATCACCTTAAATGTCAATGGTCCAAATATACCAATTAAAAGACCAACTGTCAAAGCAGATCAAAAAACAAGAGCTGACTGTATGCTGTCTACAAGAAACCCATTCAATATAAAGGGACACAGATTAGAAAGTAAAGGGGTGGAGAAAGATACACCACATTAAAACTAATCAAAAGAGATGAAGTAGCAATATTAATTTCACATATTGCAGAGTTCAGAGCAAGGAAAACTATGAGGGATAAAAGTGACATTTCATAGTGATAAAGGCATCAATGCCCCAATGAGACAGAACAACTTTTATTTTGCATGCACCTAACAAAAAAGCATTAAAATACTTGAGGCAAAAACTGATAAAACTACAAGGAAAAACAGATCAATCTATTATAGTGGGAGACTTTAATGACTATCAGAAGTGGACAGATCCGCCCGCCAGAAAAATCAGTAAGGACATAGTTGAATTTAACAGTATCATTAATCAACTGGATGCAATTAACATCTATTGACCACTTCATCAAACAACAGCATATTATATATTCTTCTCAAACACACATTGAATATTTGCCAAGACAGACCACATTCTGGACCACAAAATGCACCTTAACAAACAATAGAAATCATACCATGTCTGCTCTCAGACTACAATGGAATTAAACTAGAAATCAAAAACGGAAAAAATCCACGAATAGAGATTTAAACAATACACTTCTAAACAACATATGGGTCACAGGAGAAATAAAAGAAATAAAATGTATTTTGAACTAAATGAAAATAAAAATATGACTTACCAGTATCTGTGGGATGCAGTAAAAGCAGTGCTTAGAAGAAAATTTATAGCATTGAATACATGTATTAGAAAAGATGAAAGACCTAAAAATCAATAAATGAGGCTTTAATCTTAGAAACCTAAAAATGAACAGCAAATTAAATCCAAAGTAAGCGGAAGAAATCATGAAAGTTAAAGCAGAAATCAATGAAAATGAAACAGAAAATCAATAGAGAAAATAAAAATCCTAAAAACTGGTTCTTTGAAAAGATCAATAAAGTTAATAACCTTCTAGCTAGGCAAACTAAGAAAAAGAAAAAGGATACAAATTACTAATATCAGAAATGGATGAGAGGATATCACTATGGAGCCCATGGACATTACAAAATATTGTGAACAATTCAATTATTACAATCCACAATTATGAACAACCCACAAATTTGATAATCTGAATGAAATGGACCAACCCTTTGAAAGACACAATCTACCAATACACAAGAAGAGATAGTTCGATTAGGCCTATATCTATCAAAGAAATGAAGTCAATAATTAAAAACCTCCAAAACAGAAAGCATCAAATCCGGATGAGTTCAATGGTGAATTCTACCAAATATTTAAGAAATTTTAGGAAAAAATTTTACCCATTCTCAACAATCTCTTCCAGAAGACAGAAACAGAAGAAATACCTCCTAACTCAGTCTATGATGTCAGCATTATCCTAACACTAAAAATCAGATGATGACATTCTACAATAAAACTACAGACCAATATCTCTCATAAAAATAGATGTAAAAATCCTCAACAAAATATTAGGAAATCAAATCTAACCATGCATAAAAGATTATACATGACCAAATGAGACTTATCCCAGGTATGCAAGTCTGGTGTAACATTCAAAAATCAATTAATGTATTTCATCATATAGGCAAAAGGAGAAAAATCACATAATCATATCAATAGATGCAGAAAAAACATTTGTTAAAATCCAATACCCATTCATGATTTAAAGCTCTCAGCAATACAGATGAACCTCTACAACGTGATAAAGAATATTTACAAAAAAACTACAGCTAACATGATAGTTAATAATAAGAAACAGAAGCCTTCCTGCTATGATCAGAAACAAGGCAAGGATGTCTCCTCTGACCACTGGTATTCAACACTGTACTAGAAGTCCAAACTAATGCCATAAGATCAAGGTACACAATTTTGTAAAGAAGAAATAAAACTAACAAAATTCTCTTTGTTCACACAAGACATGATCATCTACATAGAAAATCTGAAGGCATCAACTAAAATACTCCTGGAACTAATATGCAACTATAGCAAAGTTGCAGGATACAAAGTCAATATGCAAAGTTAACAGCTTTCCTGTATACCAGGACTTTGCAAGTGTAATTTGAAATAAAAATACATTACCATTTATACCAGCACCCCCCCAAAATAAAATACTTAGGCAAATCTAACAAATATATACAAGATCTATAAGAAAAACTACCAAACTCTGATTAAAAAAAAAGAATCAAATCAATGGAGAAATATTCCATATTTATGGATAAAAAGATACAATATTGTCAAGATGAAGTTCTTTCCATCTATAAATTAGATGCAATCCCAATAAAACCATAGCAAGTTATTTTGTGAATAGGGATAAACTAATTCCAAAGTTTATATGGAGAGGCAAAGGACCCAGAATAACCAACACAATGTTGAAGAACAACTTTAGAGAACTGACATTACTTGATTTTCAGATTTACTATAAAAATCATTATTGTTTCCAGATTTGTTATTAATGAAAGAACAAATAGATCAATAGAATAAAATAGCTCAGAAATAGATCCCATGTAGTCAAATGATCACTGACCTTTGTCAATGACCTAGCAAAGACAATCTAATGGTGCAAAAAAAAAAAAGACAGATCTTATGCATTTCAGAAAAATTAACTCAAGATAGATCATAAATTTAAATGTAAAACAAAAACTATGGAAGACAGCATAGGAGAAAATCTAGATGAACTCGGGTTTTGTGATGATATTTTAGATACAAACTCAAAGGCATAACCTGTGACAGAAATAATTGAAAAGCTAGACTTTTTTAACATTAAAAATCTACACTATAAAATACAATGCCAAGAGAATGAGAAGACAAGCCATTGGTAGAATACATTTACAAAAGACACATCTGATTAAAGGACCAATATTCAAAATGTACAAAGAATTCTTAAACCTTAACAATGAGAAAAAAAAATAACTTGACTAAAATATGGGCAATAGACCAGAACAGACACTTTACCAAAAAAGATACACAGATGACAAATAACTATAAAAAATGTTCAACATCATGTTATTAGAGAATTGCAAATTGAATGAGATACTACTACACACTTACTAGCATGGTCAAAATCCAAAACTGACAACAGCAAATGCTGATGAGGATGTGGAGCAATGGGAATTTTATTCATTGTTGGTGGGAGTGCAAAATGGTACAGCCCCTTTGGAAGACTGTCTGGCAGTTTCTTAAAAAACTAAACAAACTTTTACTATATGATCCAGAAATTGCATTTCTTGATATTTACACAAGTGAGTTGAAAATGTATGTCCACAGAAAAAGATGCACATATATGTTTATAGCAGCTGAATTCATAATTGCCAAAACATACAAGCAACCAAGATATCCTTTGGTAGGTGAGTAGATAAATAAACAGGTACATACAGACAATGGAATATTATTCAGCATTAAGAAGAAATAAGTTACGAAGCCATGAAAAGACACGGAGAAAACATAAATAAATATTACTAAGTGAAAGCTGTCAATCTGAAAAGGCTATATACCGTACAATTTCAACTTATGACATTCTGAAAAAGGTGGTACTATGGAGACAGTAAAAAGATTAGCACTTGCCAGGGTTTAGGGAGTTAAAGTGATGAATACAGGTGGAACACATGGGATTTTTAGGGCAGGATAGTGAAATTACTCTGTATGATACTGTAATGATGGATACATGTCATTTTACACGTGTAACTCATAGAATGTACTTGCCAAGTGTAAATCCTAATGTAAGCTACAGACTTTGGGTGATATGATGCATCAAGGTAGGTTCATTGATTGTGCTAAATGTGCCACTCTGATGTTGGCTGTTGATAGGAGAGATCGTGTTTGTGGAGATGGGATATAAGGAATTCTCTGTACTTTCTGTTCAATTTTGCTGTGAACCTAAAACTGCTCTAAAATAGTTTATTAATGCACATGAGGCCCAACTAAAGTAGCTGGCCAGGCTTGTCTATGACTTTACCACAGTTGCTGCCCATAGTCTTGAAACAGACTTACATCTTAAGATCTCTAAGGCTACTTGTAGAAAAGGCTCAGTTCTTGCAGAAGCAGTGAGAAGGAGAAGGAAAAGAGACTAATAAGAGGATTCAAGATTTCACAAATGGAAACTGAATATTATACGACACCATTTTGTTACTTGATCAGTATGAATTGATAAGGAAGAATTATACATTAGAGGAAGAACACGTTTTACCGAATCAATTTTTTAAAGCATATACAAATAAAGAAAACATATATAAGTTGCCCTTTTAAGAATGAGGTAGGACAATTAAAGCAAACAACAACAAAAAAGAGGTGTACAGAAAAAGTAATACTTACAATTATTCTGTTATTAAAGAAGTTATTCACTTGACAAATCCTATCATTTTCTTTCTGGATGCCATTTTTAAGCTTTTCTATATCAAAACGAGTATTTAACCACTCTTCCAAAAACTGTGTCATTTCCTTCTTATTACTTAGTACTTGTTGAAATTCAGTCTTTATGCTAGGGAACTCACTTTCTGAGAAATCTTTGAGAATTTCCTGTGTGAAAAATAAGCATCAAATTGCTTAAACTTTAGGAAAGTTTTTATCCAAATATCATATATAATCATAAAAAGAGGGTAATACCTACTGGACTCTTGCTTTTCTTCCTTTTTATATCATTTCTTAATATTTTAAAGTAAACTAAGAAATATAATTGTAAGTTAAACTTTATTCTAGTTATTTCCATAATAATATTTTGGCAGTATACGTGATGTAAAATATTTTACCTATTCGAATTAAAACTTGTCAAAATGGCAAACTTGGGACTAATTGCTACAATACCTGAAGCGCATCTTAATTTTTAATTTTTGAAATGGTCTCACTTTGTTGCCCAGGCTGGTCTTGAGCCCCTGGCCTTAAGTGATCCTCCTGGCTGAGCCTCCTAAGTAGCTGGAATTACAGGCATACCACTGGGGCTGGCTTCATGAAGTGCTTCTAAATGTACTTTTTAGTACATTTAGATCTTACATACATGTTAGAAATTGTATGCCAACCTCACATAGATGAATAAAAGTAACTAACACATGCCATGTGGAGTTGTGGCAATAAAAAGGTTTCTCGCTCCCAGTATCAATGTAAGTTTTCCTGTTTTCTGTATCTATGGAGGTCTAAAAGGAGGCTAAGTCCATCATTTGCCCATCTATGGCTGGCCAGGTATCACTCTGCAACCTATTTTTAATTACTGGTAAATGAAAATAGCTCTAAGCACACAAAAAAAGTCTTTTCTACTCGATAAAAAGGCTTAAAATCTAATTAAATCCATTTAAAATAAATTATACCTCAATATGTAGATCAATATTCCTGCTCAATTTGAAGTCCCTTAATTCTCTGGATGGTACATCACAATCTTGTTGAAGGTGCTGTATTTTAATTAGCAATTCATCTTGCTTTTCCACTTCATCAATAAAATCCATTTCAAATTTATTGATGGATTCATGTTGTTCTTCTTTTATTTTTGTAACACAGCTTAACACATACTTGCAGAAAAAAATTAAACAAATTGGAAAATGAAAATTTTGTCACATTTAGAGGAAGTTTTAATCCTTGGGACTGTGAGGTAGGATGACATGTCTTATTTACCTATATCCTCTCATAAGTGAGGAAGAGGGAAAGAGCTTCTTTCTATCCCCAGTTTTTTTCTCTTGGTATCTTAGGAGAATAACTAACTCCCAGACCTATACTTCCTTAATTCTGACTTCTTACTAGATATACTTCTTGGATGTCTTACAAGTCCTTCAAATTGAACATGTTTAAAATGTAACATCATCCCTTTCTCTGCAAGTCCTCCTTTTCCTATTGCCCCCCTTTTGGCTAATTACATTGCCAATCACCCAGGATTCCCAGTTAAACTTGTGAGACTCATTTTCAACATCCTCTTCTGCCAACCCTGATTGGGTAAACAAAAAGATGATGTTATCTGCCTCAAGACTTCCTTGTCAAGCATATTTAGATATTCGGCTTCAAGGAGACAATAATTTGAATGCCATATATTTCATGGACTTCATGAATAATTCTAGATGTCCGATTACCAGGATTTGTGGAAGAATTACCAGGGCCTGAAGGGCAATTTATCTACGAAGGGCAGATACCTGCTTCTTAATTCCTCAACTTGCACCATTCCTTAACCTCTTACAATCTAGTCTCTTCCTTAACTACTCAATTGAAACTGTTCTGACAATGATCACCAATGAGTTCTATTATTACCACATTGAGAGAATATCTTCAGTCCCTATTCTGACTCTCTGAAATATTTATCACTCATAACTTCATCTTTGATATACTCTTCTCTACTGATTTGGGTAGTAGCACTTTTGCTAGGTTCTCTCCTGTATCTTTGACTTTTCCAACCTTGAACCCATGTGTTGCTCCCTTTTCTGCCACTGTCTCTTAGACATTTATCTTTTCCAGAGTTCTGTTTTTTTCATTATGCTTTCTGGATGATCTTACAAATGTATTATCTATCACCTATATGCTAATCAGTCTCAAATGCTAGTCCTTATTTTTCTCCTGCCAAACCTCAAACTCACATCTAAATGCCTACTTGGTTTTTCTTCTTGGATGCTCCATCACAGGTATTTCAGTCCCCCAACATCTCAAGTTAAACAATCTCCTGCCTCATCTATCTTGTTTCTTTTTTTTATTTTTATTTTTGAATCTCAGTTAATGGTACCACTAACCACAAACCTGACTAAGACCAAATCCAAGAACTCCATCTAAATTTCTCTCCCTTATCTCCCACTATCAATTATGTGGGCCTACTATCTTAAGCTGATAAACATTTCTTTAATGTTGTTTGTCCTCTTCAGCCCTATGAAACCTTCCCTAGTAGTAACGTCACATATAATATCTCATCTGAACCACTGTAAATACCTCTTGTCGCTTTCTGCCACGAGGCTTATCTCCCTCAAACTCATTTCTTCTTTATTCTTTAGTTTAGTACCTAAATGATAATCTGTTCCTGTTACTGCCACCACTTAAAATAACTGTCTAATGATTCTCCATCTACAAAAAGAACTCCAAGCTTTGTTATTGAGTCTGGCTTCCACTACAGATTCATCTTCTGTAACTTTACCTAGTATGGCATATAACTTGCATGTACTTCTATCATTGTACTTATTTTCTGTTTATATGTCTGTCTCACCCACAGACTATAAGATCTTTGAAATGTTAACTCACATCTGCCTCCTGAGCACCTTGACATAATGTCTAGGCCCACAGGCAGAGTTCAGGTGTTGCTGAATGACCAGGTGATTCATATTGATGATGCTACATATTTCTATGCTCAGACCCACATAATTTCTAATTCGGTAGTAAGAGTTCTAAATAGCCAATATGCTGGCACTCAAAGCAGGACTTAAATATACTGATGTTTATAACAGTATTTACAAGGATATTAAGCCATATTTACAAGGATATTACTAAAAAAGATGGTACCTTGAGTTTCTTCATGACTCTATGGAATTCCATGGAACACCTCTGGTTTGCAGTAAAAAGTTTTTCAATTTGTTTGGTTTGTAAATAGGGAAGTGAGAGGTTTGCTTTTACTCTCATTAAAAGCTCTTTTTGGATTTCAATTTCCTTCTCCAAGTCAAGAGACAGTCTATTCAAGCACTCATAGTGATCATCCACCTCTGAATATCTCTTCAAAAGCTCCTAAAGGAAATGAGAATTCATTCAATTTATAACAATTTGCTAATATAACAATAAATAGTTACAATTCTAGAATTGTAACAAAACTTACGCTTTTTTTTCTGTAGGAGAGAAATAAAGAGCTTTGTGTTTAAAAACAAAAGGAAACTTGCTGATTTTGGATTACAGAAATAATATATAATTATTATGGCCATTTAAACAATTTAAGCAAATATAACAAGAAAGCCAGGACTAACCATTCTCAATATTTTGATGCATTTTCTTTTAGTTTTTTGAATAACCATGATTTGAATCAACATGGACAAAGTCTGATGAGAAATTTGAGTAAATTCAATCAAGTATGTATTGTAGTTTATGGTTGAGTGCTGGTTTATGTTTATAGTAGGCAATCTGAGCTAGCAGATAAAACAAGTGATTAAGAATCAAACTGCCTATTTGTCAGCTTGGTATAGATATTTGACACAACCCTATTACCTGCCTAGAATCTGTTTTCTAACCCTTTATCAAAGGTAGAGTTCAGGTTCCAGCTCTGCCACCTCTGAACTGGAGAAGACAGCCATTTTCATAACAACAGGAAGACTACAATAATTACCAAGTTTTCTGGGGTCAGGTAAAATATATGATCTATACCTATATATCTATGTGATCTATAAAACAGATACAGTCATTAAACTTGAAGGAAATAAAATTATATTTGTAAAAATGGTTCTATATCCAAGTTTTAAACTAAGTCATATACAAGTCTGACTTAGTTTAAAATTCTGATTCTACCAATTTACCAGCTGTGGGTAACTGCTAAACTTCCTTTCTGAGCCTCAGTTTCCTTGTTTATGAATGGCGCAATAAAGCCTATGTCATGAGATAAAGCACCCAGTATGGTACCTGGCATATAGTAGACATAATAAACTCTGGGCCCATAAACTCAAGGGACTTGAGGCTGTGCAGGTGACACACTGGTCAGAACACAGGTAGAGGGAAACGTAAAATTCAAGTTGCTTAATCATGTAGTAGGTAACATGTTTAGGTCAGGGTGCTAAACAATAAAACAAGGACTTTCTCAGGAATGGGCCCTCTATTTTTCATAATTTAAGAAAAGATAGATGTTAATTAATCTAGAATGTTGGAGAGAAGATTCCTGTTTTTGGTTTTAGGATGAAGCAACTACGGTATGCAGCATGGTAAACATTGACATGTCAGGAATGTGCTAAGTGATACAGTCAAACAAAATAAAAACGTCCTTAGAGCTCTTGCATTCCAACAGGTGTGACTGTTAATCCTGTTGACTTTGTATATTTAGAATCTCAACACTTCTCACTACCTCTATTGCTCCCTCTCTGGGCCAGGCCAGGATGATGTCTGCTTGGATGATTGAAATTATTCTTTATAATGGTCTTTCTGCTTCCGCTCTATTTTCAATACAACAATTAAGAGTCATCCCTTTAAAACGTAAGTCAGATCATGTTCCTCTTGCAGTAAAAACTCACCAATGGATCTCCATCTCACTTAATAAAATTCAAAGTCTTTTTTCGCATCCTACAGCCCGCCTCTTCCCTGTTAACTCTCTGACCTTGTTTGTTAGCAGCTTGATGTTCCTTGAACCACCACGGAGTCTTCTGCCTCAGGAACTTTGTACTTGCTGTTCCCTTTGTCTATAATGGTCTTTTCAGACATCTGTATGGCCTGGCCCTTTACGTAGTTGCTCAAGTATCATTTTTCTGGTGAGGACTTAAATTCACAAGCTCCCATTGTTGTTTGTGTATGTGTACATATATGCATACACACACACACCTGTACTAGATTACAATGTTTAGAAAAATACTAAGCACGATCTATTCATTCCAGAGGTTCCTTCAATTGCACTTTAGGTTTCAGGAAGCCTTTGGAAGGGAACCAATAATCATTTGTAGTTTAGCAGGAGGAACTTACTTTTATTCTAGAGCACTTTTCTCTCATGCTTTCTGTAAGCTGCTGTTGTGCATCACTTAGTAACCTTTTTTCGGGTTTTACTTGGTGGTTCTGTTGGTCCTGCTTTGGTAAAAAGAAAACAAACAGGGCTTTAGTCATAACTATATTCACATATAATGTCTAATTGTACACTTTTAAATTACATGACATTTCAATAATGGAATTAAATATTACACTTGTAACTCAAAAGCAATGTTAAAATGATCAGAAAATGCAAAATAGTACCAGTAAGTTTTACAGGGAATGACCTCAACTCACTGGGAAAAAAGTAGAACCATCTATTTTTTGGAGATAGGATTTATTTTTCATAGCTACAAATTCGGTTTTAGGGCCAAATGTGGTAGCTCACGCCTGTAATCCTAGCACTTTGGGAGGGTGAGGCAGAAGGATCACTCAAGCTCAGGAGTTCAAAACCAGCCTGGGCAACATAGTGAGATCTTGTCTCTATAACAATAAATAAATAAATAAATAAGAAAACAAACAAATAAGTTAGATTTTAATTTCTGGTTCCTGTCCTTCCAAATCTCTGCTTATTCAGTTATAGTTTTAACAGGGTCACTTACTTTTATCTTAACGCATCTACTGCTGCCAACCAAATATATTGGGGCAAAACCATCTGTACTGTCTATGGTGTTCCAAACCCTAGTTATATATTTTTCCCAGTACCTTGGAAAAGTTCATATCCTGTGTAAATTTTGCATTTCTGATTAAAAAGTACAAAATGAAACAAAAACATTTTCTCCCACTTGTTTATCTTGCTCACTACAGTACCTAGGAGAATATTTGTTGAATAAATTAAATGCCTTTATAAATTTAGTTAAGGCCTGCATAAAGAAACATGAGAATAAAAAATATTTTTACAGATTTTAATCAACCTATTTGTCTGAACTTTGTTACTTTTAAAAAGAGGATTTAATGAAGTGTTTTAAGAATATATGATTCTGAATATCTATAGTTATACCAGAGGAACTTAATTTTTTAATTGCATTTTAGGTTTTGGGGTACTTGTGAAGAACATGATTGTTGCATAGGTACACACATGGCAGTGTGATTTTCTGCCTTCCTCCCCTTCACCTATATCTGGTATTTCTCCCCATGCTATCTCTCCCCAACTCCCCACCCCCCACCGTCCCTCCCCTATTTCCCCCCAACAGACCCCAGTGTGTAGTGCTCCCCTCCCTGTGTCCATGTG